AGGTTTAGAAGCCCCAGAATGGCCAATAATTGCCCCCTTTCTGGATGGATCTTTATTCCATGTTTGGCTCAAACAAGAATCTAATATTTCTAGACATCAGTCAGAGCTTCCTTAGTACCTCATCAGTGAGAATTATTTGTGAAAAAATAGGCTCTGCTACCTGTAATCTCCAGAAAGTTGTCCTCAAAAATATTTCCCCAGTTGATGCTTATTGGAACTTCTGCCTCACTTTTGGTGGCCATGAGGCTCCAACACCCTTCAAGGAAATGACCAAAATGATATGCTTTCTCCATTGAGTAAGGTCTTGAGAAATCCAAAATGTAATCTACACTATCTCAGGTTGGTATCTTGTTCTTCTAACATTCATCAATGAGCTGATCTCTCTTCTTCCCTCGAAAAACTAGCCCTGGCATTCTTGAGAACCTCCTAGCAAATGAGCTCCTAGAAGAGAGCATCAAGTTGCTGTACATGATTTTGAGACAGTTAAAGTGCTTTCTGCCGAGGTTGTCATTGGAAAACTGTCACCTTACAGAAGCCTGTGGCAAGGAGCTGTCTTCTGCTTTGATCCTCAACTAGGGACTGACTTACCTGTGCTTAGCAAAAAAATGTCCTCAGGGATAGCAGGGTGAATCTTCTGTGAGAGGGTTTGAGTTACCCCCAAGGTAAACTACAGACCCTGGTATTATGGTGCTGCATATAACCAATGATGGCTGCAATCACATCTCAAAGTTTCTCCAAGAACAATCAGCTTAACACTCTTGCACCTGGGGCTGAATCACATAGGAATTACTGGACTGAAGTTTCTGTGTGAGGCTTTAAAGAAACTACTGTGTAACCTGAGATGTCAGTGGTTGTAGGGATGTGCCATCATTCTTTTAGTTGTGCAGACCTCTCGTCTGCCCTCAGCCACAACCAGAGCCTGATCTGATCTCTGGGCCTGGACCACAATTCCTTGGGGGTATACCGGAGTCAAGATACTGTGTGAAGACTTGAAACCAAAATTTCCCCCTCTGGGCACTCAGAAGAACCTGATGCTCAAATCCAGAAACTGCTGAAAGAAATCAAAGAAAGCAACCCACAACTGACTACTGAGAGTGACAATCAAGATCCCAGGAAAAAAAGACCTCGTCATGACTTCATTTTCTGAATGTAGATATGAATTATACCTGTCACCTAAATATTGCCTCTATCCCCATTCTTTCTCTTCTCCTACATTTAATTAAATGTAGCTTAGACCTCCTCATTTTATGTGTTATGTCTTCTTTTCCCTTTTCTGTAGAGTCATTTATTCTACAATAAAGTAATGGATCTTCAAGGTAATGGTAAAGTTCCTATGAATTCTCTCAGTGATGTTAGTTGCTGAATCAGATGTTATTTTAGCCTTGGTTGTGCTTCTGGTTTACATGAAGCATGTACAAATCACACTTAACTTTGTTATAGACAAAATATCTGTATCTCAAGTATATAAAGGTGAAAGCGTTTATGAAAAAAGGAAAAAAAACCAACAACAACAACCAGAAATGTATTCCCTCACAGTTCTGGAGGCCAGAGGTCCAAAATCAAGGTGTTGGGAAGTCCATACCCACTCCAAAGGCTCTAGTAGTCAGTCTGTCTTTTCCTTTGTTCCCTTGCCTTTTCCAGCTTCTGGTGGCACCAGACATTCCTTTGCCTGTGGCCACATCACTCCAGTCTCTGATCCCATGGTCACATTGCTTCTTACTCTTCTGGCTTTGTCTCTCCTGTGTGTGTCTCTGCTAAAGACACTTTCATTAGACTTAGAGTCCACTCAGAAAATCCAGGATGATTTCATCTCAAGATCTTGAACTTACTTACATCTGCAAAGGCTCTTTTTTCAAATAAGGTCACATTTGCAGAATCTGGGGTTTAGGATACAGACATATCTTTTTTGAGGCCACCATTGAACACACTGCATTATTTATTTAAGTTATAAATATATTTTAAACCCCACAAGTTAATATTTTTGCTTTTTACAGTCATTTAGATGAACCCATATTCTTTGTTTTTCATTCTTTGTTGCATCTTTGTGTTTTCTTCTGATATAATTTTCCTTCAGCCTAAAGAACAAACTTTAAGTTTTCTTTAAAATGTAGCTTGAAAGCAAACTCTCCATTTTGGTTTGTCTTTAAATGTCTATTCTGTTTTCATTATGGAAGGATATTTTTGTTGTGTAAGAATTCTTGGTTGGCAGTTAATTTTCTTTCAGCACACTGAAGTTATCTTGCCATTGGTTTTTAGCTATAGTTGTTGCTCTTAACAAGTCAGTTATCCATCTTATCAATATTCCCATGCTGTCTTTTTCTTATAAACGAGTGCTTTTAATATTTTCTCTTTGATTTTATTTTCTGCATTTTTACCCTGACATGTCTAGATTTGAGTTTATTTGTACTCATCCTGCTTGAGTCTAATTTAATTGAATCTTAATATCTTAATATTCATTCTGGAGAACTTTAAGTCATTATCACTTTAAATATTGCCTTTGGGGCCGGCCGAGTGGTTCAGTTGGTTAACAGTTGGCCTAAGAGTGCGAGCTCTGAGCAACAGGGCCATCAGTTCTATTCCCACATGGGCCAGTGACACTGTGCCTGAGCTGAGCTGTCGCTGAGCTGCCAACAGGTGGCAGGATGGCTCAGCTGGTGTAACAAGATTGCCTGTTTGATGGTGGGCTATGTCAACCTGCAACTAAGACTGAACTTGGCACCTTGAGCTGAGCTGCTGCCCAGATGGCTCAGTGGATTGAGTGTGCACTCTTAACAACAAGGCTGCTGGTTCGACTCCTTCATGGGATGGTTGGCTACGCCCATCCGCAACTAAAATTGGACACAGCACCTTGAGCTTAGAGGCCACGAGCTGCCAACAGGAAGCCAGATGGCCACTGGCACCCTCCACAACAAAGATTGAAGAACAACAACTTGGCTGGTCCCCTTCCCCAATTCCCCAACACTGTTCCCCTCCCCCAATTACCCAATAAAATCTTAAAATTTGCCTTGTTTCTCTTGTTTCTCTTCTACATTTAATTAAGTGTAGCTTAGACATCTTTATTTTATCTTTTATGTCTCTTTTGTATTTTCCATCTTGCTTCACCAAGCCATCTTTGGTTTCACCAACTCTCACTTCAGTTGTGTCTTATCTGCTTTTACATTTCTCTCATAAATTTCTGTATTTAGCAGTTCTATCATTCCTATTAATTTGTTCCCAAATGTGCAATGTATTTTGCAAACATTTCAGGAAAGAAAAAACAACCTATAAATGAATTATTAGAAGTATTAGGTGAAATTTGATGAGGAACAAGATAGTTATATAGTCTCATAAGTTACTTAATAATTTCAAAAGGAAAAATAATAACTTTATGATGGAAAATCCTGACAGGTGCTTTCTTAACCAAGTGATCAAAGTTAACATCACCAGTAATGGGACAAACTGACATCACGTACCTCCTAATGTGATGCAGTGAGGCCACAATATCACTTCTGAGGTATTTCTGTAAAAAATTGATGACCTGAATCTAATTATGAAGAAACATCAGACAAATCCAAATTGAGAAGGAACACTTTACAGGACAGTTCATCTACACTGTCCAAAAATGTCAATATCATGAAAGACAATGAGAAGATGAGGAACTGTTCCAGATTAAAGGAAACTAAAGAGATATGACTGAATGCAATGTATGACCCTGGATTAAATAAGGGGAAAAAGCCTGCTACAATGGACATTATTGGGACAGTTGGCAAATTCTGAAAATGGACTGGACATTAGGTAATAATGTATCCATGTTAAATTTGCAAACTTGATAATTATAATGTGGTTATAATTTCTTTTCTCCTATTAAAATATATAGCAGTAAGGGGGCATGATGTTTGCAACTTATTCTCAAATGCTATAGAAAAAACGTTACAGCAAAAAGTGGAAAAATGTTAAAAGTTGATGAATTTGCATGAAAGGTTAATATATTTTTTGGTCATATTTAATGCAGTTTTTCGGTAATTTTGAAATTATTTTGAAACAAATTTTTTTAAAAACTTACAATATCAATTTTCATAGCTCCAGTTCCTTGCTGAAAATTAAAGTTCAGCTTTTATCTCTATGACGCTAGTAAACACAATTGTTACACAGATTGTGTCTGATACCTCCAGAATATGCAGACCTGGTGGGCTTCGAGTCAGCCCTTGTTCCTCTAGTCCTGCAAGGGCCCAAAGTACAGATCTGCCTCTCAGAGCAGAAGAGGCTCAGAATGGTGCTGTCCTCAGGGCCCCAGACCAGAATGGGAAATTCTGCCCTGGGCAAACACCAGAGTCAGCCTGCATCCCATTTCTCCACCCCAAAAGTTCACCAAAAGCATGGTTCTATCTCTCCCCCACTCCCTCCAGACCAGCAGTGTCCCAGAGTTGAAGCAGTTCCCGCCCACACTCTCTGAGCTCTAATCACCTCCCTGATCTAGGTTTGGTAATTCTTCTTTCTCTTATTGGCTCTTCAACGCTTTTAAGAACATTAAGGTTTTTAACAATGTATTAACTTTAGCTTTCTAGTTGTCATCAATGGGAGAGTTAGTCTGAATGACCTCGTTTGCCATAACCATAATCTGAAATCACGGCTACTTCTCATTGTAACACAGAAGGCTTACCTTAGTTAAAAAAAAAAATTTTTTTTAAATGGATTAACATCACAAATGATCCAATCACACTCCTCCTATTTCTTGGTAACCATAATTCACAAGACCCTGGAGTGAATTAACATTTTATAATTGCTAGGTAACTAAACTGGCTATTAGCTAGCTTTAAATATGTATATAGCTACTTTCTTTGTGAATTCCAGCCTTGATTGGCTTAACCGGCACACTATAACATAAAACCGAACCTAGGGTCTTAAGTACAAGCTTCCCATGAAAAGTTTAGCAATGCAAGATGAGCAAAGAATGTAATTAATTGTCTTGATAAAATAATTCAATGATTAGATAGGAAAATTAGATTTTAAAAAGACAATACCATTTACAGAATGTAGGGCTTCCTTCTGTATCAATGCTGAAGGGGATGATGTCATTTCCTCTTCTTTCTGCTGATTTTTAAAATCATTATCTATGGAGATCTGAAGCCCTGAGAACTTCCATTCAGTGTAGTTCACCTGCTTCAGAATAAAAACAAATATAATTATAATAATTTCATAAAATTAGTAACCATATAAAATTATACACTAATATAATTATATAATTAATACAATATAAATGACCATAACATAATATAATATACAATTACATATGGTTATTATATAACCATATAATAATACATTTTTGTAATGTCATATAAACATTATATATATTTTAGGTGCTATATAGTAACTTTAATGTAGTTTTCTATGAAAAAAGGCAGTATCAAGCACATAGTAAGTGTTCACTAAATACTTGTTCTTTAATTACAGTTGAAGTAGACTGGTTAAAACTGATACTAAAATTCTAAGCATAAACTGTAAGGTCTATAATTTGTTGAATTAAATTACATTAAAATGAGTGGACAGTCCAGAGGTTTATTAAACTACTGTGTTTGTGGAAACACTAGCCACAAAAAGACATGATAATTCCTTATCTCATGTATCTGCTTCTGCTTCTATCTTTTAGAATAATATATTTGGGGACACTGCAACCCATATTTTAGCTCTTCGGGGTTTCTCAGGCCTTACCTGTAGTGTATTCCCAGTTAAGATGTTACCACTAAGATAATCCATTCTGTTCTTTCTTTGGATGCCTGTTCTTTTGCCATGTCTTCTTCTTGAGTAGCTTGCAACCTGGTGTTCCCTTTCCTTTCTTTCTCCCAGCTGAAGAGGTTTTCTCTTAGCTGGATACTGGCCAGCTGCAATGGGAATCTCAGCAGGTTCCACCTGGTTCTAAATAGAAGGATCAGAGACAGCCTTACAAGATGATAGTTTAACAGCCTTGATACTCAAAAAAGGAATTTATAAGTTACCGTCAGACTTCATTCCTCTCCTGCTACAGAGCTGAGACATGCCATCTCTCTTTCCTTCCCACAATAAAACCCAAAGCTTTGCTCCATCAGTAGCCTCCGGGCATTATGAGGGAAGCAGATTAAGTTTGCAGAACACATGACACTCACAGAAGGAACTTCTTTTCCTCCAATTTTAATACTGTCTTCTTTAAATATGCTCCTATGCTCCACAGGATTGGTGGAGGTCTCCTACCTGGGGAGGAAAGGAAACCTTTTCCTCTTCAGATGACATTTCTAAACTATTCTTGGTGTCGTTCTCCTCAGTCGGAGCTTCTGGTTTCAGGAAGCTCTCTGGGGGCAGGTAACACGACTTCCAATCCAGTTGTACCTGAACAGATCCGTTGGGTTTCCCCGCAGGGTCAGTGAGATTAAAATCACCTGAAAGACACACAGACATTAATAAGACCTGCTCAAATGAAATAGGCAAGTGAGCATTTATCATTCCCCCCTTTTGAATTTATCCATAATTCTTAATTAATTAACATTCATCAAATAATCATGATGATAATACACTCAGAAGTAATATAGAATGGCAGTGAACATTTATATTCCCTTAGAATATTTATAGGGTAAGATGGGTCTCCAGGTTTCAGGAAGGGAGAGTCAATAGATATATGGAGAGGTCTAGCTTGCTTGTCATCAGTCACCCAGCCAATAAACAGATTGCATTATTATGACTATTACACCAAAGGCTTGCTACGCCTTAAGCATACCCAGGAAACCATTATCTACACTCAAGTGGTACCTACTTCTAAAGTAACACAAGCCAAGAAAACTGCCACAAAATGGCTTTCTCTAAATGCCAGATTTCTGATTTGTAACACTGATTAATTAAACAGATGACTCATGTTGTCCCTCCTCTTTGGCAAAGGACAAGTTGTGAGTAGAAGTGACTGTCAGCCATTTTTTTTTTTAAGCACTTGTGGTATTGGAAGGAGGGAGGCTTTACACACTTCCTGGTACATCCAGATGCTTGTTAAACATGGTTGATATACTGGCTATACCCATCCACACTTCCTAATAAAAGCACATATACCCCTGCCTCACCCTCGCAGGGCAGCAACCAGAGAGTTGTCCCTTCCTAGGTGCCCCTGACAACCCTGGGTATGAAAGTACAGTAAGGTAGTATGAAGTTAAGCTCCATATTGGGGGAAAAAATATTCAAGAAATTTCCCTTAGTCATGTGTGGCGTGGAAGTCTTGCTAACTTGCATCTAATGTTTAAAAGAAGTGATAGAATCAGGACGGGGGTGGGGTGGGAGGAGAGGGGTACAGTATTAAGGACACAGTTTATAATCTGCTTTCTAGTCATGTGCTAAGAGACAGTAGGACTTAAGTAAAGATGAATACTGCGAAGCCCTACAGAATCGGAAAATATTTGTTCAGCGATAGAGATCTGGACTTCAGGTTGGTGGGTCTACCCACTCGGGAATCTTGCTTATGTTGTTGAAAAGGAGAAGAAGCCAATGTTCCCTTGTGACTAGCGAGGCTCTAAGTCTGCTCGGTCACTCTTGACAATATTCTAAAATCCTTTCAGCATGTTGCAAGCAAGTAAGCAAAGAAATGTAGGATTAGGACAAGGAAATACGGGCAAAGGCCATAAAGATGCAATAACCTCGAACTCCCACCTTTAATGGATTTGTTTTGTGCCAGAGGCAGCAAGGGCACTTGGACTTTGCCAAGGTACGCGCCAGGCTCTGAGTCTTCATCATCAAAAACATACACGGATAGGGCCTCCCGCCTCAGATATTGATCCAGGTCAGAAGTCACGGACACTGGGAATCGAGCCTGGTCTCTAAAGTAGGGATTGTTACTGGCTGGAATGATGGCAGTGTCGTGGTCAGAGAAGGTAAAGAAGCGGTACATGGCGTACGGGCTGGGTTGGGCTCCCAGCCATCGACTCCTGAGGCTGCAGCATCTGGTGATTTCCACCTGTAGCTCGTTCCAGTGCTTCCAAGTCTCTGATCTGGACTGGAGAGATGTTGGTCTTGGATGGAGGAAAAGGGCAACCTGAGAAAGTTGTTGTAAGTGAAGCCCAGTATACTTGATGAGCAAGAGAAGAGCTATGATCTAGAGAACTGTTGAATCCTGACTGGGTCACAGAGAAACCTAATGACTTCACCTGCCTGCATACTGGGTCTGGGAGATAGTTATCTAAGGGAGATGCTGGCACTCAGGCTTTATCTTAGAGAATAGAACAGAGAAGCTATTTTGTTCATAGCAGGGACAGGTAGCTAGCTCCAAGGGCATGGTTTCATTTCAAACTCAGGCTTGACCAAGGGAAGAATCTGAACTACTAGTTGTGGTGTGACAGTTTTTTTCTTTCATCCACATTCAACACTTATTGAGAATGGAAGACTGAGCTGTTTTCATGAGCTGCTTGGCTGAGGCTCCTTTGAGATGCATGGGCACATCCTTTTTCTCACCTCATTCTCCTGGGCCTCCCAGGCTCCAAGCACATTGGCCGATAGGTAGGCCTGGGCTTTCTTTTGCTTATTGCATGCCTGTAGGCTGGTTCTTATGGGGAAATGCACCTTCATCCAGTATTCTAGCACCCCGAAGTCTTCTCCACCAGCTCCTGGGTAGCAGAAAGTATGAAAGGCACGGAGGAGATACTTGTAGATGGTGTGGCAAGCATCAAGAATAAAGGCAGAGAAAGAAAATAGGAAACCACTAGAAGAACAACTACAGACTTTGGGAGATTCTGCATTAGTTCCGGGAGCTATGGGAAGCCGACAGCACTTACCAATAAGTGTGGCAGAGCCATGGACTCTCTCTACAGTCTCCAGCACCCTGTCAAAGCAAATCCATCCAGTTGCAAGGGTGTGGTGCTCACTGGCCAGAGCCTGGTGTAGATCAAGTCGGGCTGAAGCGCCTTGAATGTAGTGCAAGAAAAGGGAATCTATCTCTACCACATACTGGGAGGTGAAGTCATAGAGGGGCTGTGGTCCCACAGCTAGTGGGGTACAGTGGGTCTCAAAATCATAGAAAGAATAGGTGCAGAACGTGGTAGGTTGAGTATCTTCAGCCTGAGCCAGGGCAGCAGATGTCAGGAAGGCCTGGTGGATGTGCAGCTCAAATAGATTCTCACTCTGATGCAGCAGAGAGATGTCTACTTCATCCTCATCTCTGTGGGCTGGCAATGTTTCCAGATGTAATGACATCTGCCGGGTACCATAAGCCACATCTTTGAGCTGTTCTAGAGGCGAAAGAAAACTGCCTATCCATTAAAGGGTAGGGAGCTCTTCCTTAGGATAAAGGAAGGTGGACAGAAGGAGAATAAAAACTGTTGTGGAAGTCAGTCCAAGCTGTGATTATCTCAAGAAACCAGGTGATTCTAAAGGAAAAGTAATAGCATGACAACCAGGAGCTTTGAATTCTGTTGGCCAAATAATCCAACATCTTTTGAAATAAGGTTCAAAATGAGTGATTGGAAAGTAAACACTAAGCTCAGGAAAACACTGGAGGCACAATTTCATCTATAAATGACATTGTTTTGGTTTATAGTAAGATCCTATGAACTAATTGGTAATTCCATCAGAGATGCGCTATAAACAGAAAATGTGAATATTTCCAAAAGTTTGGGACATTGGCCATGAAAAGAATAGCAAGTTATAGTCATGGTGTCTATTACATAACAATGGACCCCACCAAAAAATGATTCCCGTTCTCCAGCCAGATCACAAGAATCTTTCTCTTGTTAAGAATTTGGTTTAATTGTAAGAAGGCAAAAAAAAAAATCCACTTTAAGTTAAAGAGTAATGGAGTAAAAAGTGGAGGAGGACACTTGCTAGAAAGAGGTTGAAAATACTGGCAATGGGATGCAAAGATATGTAAGAGTGTCTACCAGATCTGTGCATTACCTCCCATGTTCAACCAATCAGAATTTTGATATATAGTCTGCTTCAAATCAGGTAAAATGAGTCATCACAGTGTGTTGATGGTGAAGGTCCTATTTTAAGAGTTAAAGTTGTAGAATAAAAATATTTGTATACATCAGAATTTCTTTCTACCCAAAATAAATGGAATACAGAGACTAATAGTTTCATAATTGAGAAGGTTAATACAAATAAAATATATTTAAAATTTTGCATTACATGACACAGAGTTAACAATCTCAGCATATAATGAAATTCTACAGTTCAGTAAATTACTATTATGAAGTGGGTAAAGGACAGAAACAGGCAATTCTCAAAAAAAAATAATACAAATAACTGGTAAACATATGAAAATCTCTTAAGCCTTACCAGTAATGAAAGTACTAAGTTAAAGCAAATGAATCTTCAGAAGTAGACAAGGTTATTTATCCTGCACTGTCTTGGGAGAAAGACCCTAAATCTGAAAGACATGAGAATTTCAGTCCAAGGGGGGATTTCCTTTGTCATATGGCAGTGACCTTTTAACAGACTCACCCTGGCATGGATAAATCATGCCCCAGAATGACCCACCTCCCTTTAATCTAGCTCCATGCTCTCTAAGTAACCTACTTACTGAATCTGTTTTCCAGAGAGAGGGCTGACCTGAACAGTGGTTCCAAATATTCTCATGGCAGCAATGAAACAGCCACTATCATAAAATAACAAATGAACATTGGGGCTTAAATATCAGTCTTTTCTGAATTTTGGTTAGTGTAAGTCACATCTCTCATCACTGGATATAATAACAAAGCCAATTTTCTTGACATACAAGGCTCAGACCAGATCCTGGTCATCAGTGATTGTATTAAATATAGGAAGTACCACATTTGTGAAATTTGCATAGGTGTCCAGCCAGATGCCCTGTTATGACAACATGCTAAAACTATAACAAAGAATTTAGAGACTTTTAGAGAGAAATTACAGAAAAGGATGCTGAGAAATGAGTGAAGAAGCTCTATTATCTCATAAAAAATGCTATGCAAGCCTGGGTTGAGGAAACAACCTTGAGAGAGGGAGTGTTTATACCAACCTGAGGGCCAACAATGATACACCTCTCATTCTCAAAATAGATTCAGCAATTGCTGGCCCTGTTGAAACTCTCCAGAGAAATCAGAGAAAGATGCTGACATGATGGAGGAAAAAAAGCTGCTAACCATGTATTAAAACAACACAGGCGATAGGATAAAGAACAGGAGGGATAAGTTATATGCCACGGACATAAGAAGTGGCCTTCTAGACAGGTACACAGAGGGGAGCACAGGCATTATGTAGCTATGCGGTGGGTTCCAAGGTGAGGAGAACAAGGTATTAAGACTTGCCAGATAGTGGAAGGCCATGGCTTCTTAAAATACCTTCCAGCTGCTTGATACGATTGTTCTTGAGGTCCAGGAGTTGATTCAACCTCCCCAGTTTTTCTTTGTGATCTTTATTTTCATTATCGGCTTTTGTCATCATTGCCTCCAGTTCCTCCTGAAACAAAATAATGTCTGAACATTTCTATCTCAGTGGCCCAGAACTAAAGAGCTAGATAAAAAGGTGGCACTTGCTGGGTAAAGGCGACTCTGCTATCTCCTTAGCAGGGCAGATTATCCACGAGGATAATCACAAACCCCCTCCAAGATCAGTCATGTTATTAATATTAGTGCCATAGGATAGTATTTTTCCTGGGACTGGCAGAATTTGAACTCAGAGGTTCACACCTGCCATTTTCATTAGCTGGCCCCTTACTGGCTTCTATTGCCAAGGTGCCATGGCTATGTATGAGTATTCAGGTTCTTCAAAGGACAGCACTTCCTACGTTTGCACAAGACCTTGCATATCGCCTTGCATCAGCCCTGGAAACTTGGAAGGTGCTTCATTCCCAGTCTTACAAGTGGTTCCCATGTGCCTATTTATACCCTTCTTGTACCATCTTTTCTTGCACCTGATAACACACGTTGATTTTGCACTGCAGAACAAGCATGTCTCTCGCCTTTTCTAGTTCCAATATGGTCTCTGCATGTGATACTTGCAACTCACTTAACATCTGGGACAGTTTCTTTTCTTCTTGGTTGTTTGGTTCACAGGGCTATAAAGGGTAAAGCATTGGTAAAAGGGAGTATAAGTATAATAGGTACAGTAATAACTATTCTCCATAAAGCAGTTGTTGGTAATAGTAAAGTACCAGCAGCAGAATCTACTCAAAAAAGAATCTACTGTAAAAGAGGACTTGTGTAAATTCATGTTCAGTAGTAGCAGAAAGCTATACAGCTTCTAATGGCTGTTTGCTCTTCAGCAGATCATTTTAAGTCCTCATCTGAAAATAGTATCTTAAATTTTTTGAGCTATAAAATTTAGCTCAAAAATGTGTGGTAGGAAAAATGTGTGGAGCTCATGCAATTACCTCTACTCTCAGTCCTCTCATATCCTTTCAAATATTGTCCTCAATCAGGACAAAATGTCATTCAGGTAGTATTCTAATCCTTTATCTTTTCTAGAGATATTTTCCAGGAATCCCTCTGTAGAGGGGACTTGCTTGATTAAAGATGCACATACCAGGGCCGGCTGAGTGGCTCAGTTGGTTAAGAGCTCGCTCAAGAGTTTGAGCTCTGAGCAACAGCGGTTCGAGTCAGCCCGAGCTGAGCAGCCGTGAGCTG